AAGCCTCTATCATAACTACCCTTAGAGATGATAAGGGCATCCTCCATATCGAAACCAGAATGAGCAATGACAGCTACAATAGCGTTAGTGCCAGCGGGTTTGACGTCGAAGTTCGCTTCGCTCAAGACCGTAGTGCGAACCATAGGGAACTGAGGATAGGTAATCTTATAGACCTAAAAGGATCAATACAAGGGGGTTCTGATGACAGGAGCTGAAGTACCTTGTTATCAGTGCGGTAAGGATGGTTGAGATAGGGTATGGCCATAGTCTGTTTAAGCATCTGGCACTGGTACATGTTACGAGGACTCTGATTATGGTTAGAGAACGGGGTGAGACCAGCGATGACCGATAACATAGATATGGGACTCAGCTCGATATGAGTGTACTTCATTGGGATGTTCTCGGGGACACTAGACGTTTTAGTGGATGCTTCCAAGTCCTCCCTAGTAGCGGCTATCTTGAGGAAGACCTGCTCCATAGGACCAACAAGCTCCTCGTTACCGGTGGCCAGGTCCCGAACAGGGCGGACCATCCTACAGGGGCCAGTGAAGAGCCAGAGGCCCTCGAAGGAGGCCGGGGTCTGGCAGGCCACAATCTCAAGGTCGGCAGGCACCCCTGGGCAATCCTTATCGATCTTGAGCCTCCTCAGCTCCTCGGCTACCGCCTCAAGACGGCTCCTGGCAACTTTACCGAGCACACGGCCGTCCAGAGTGACGTAGGCATTCTCCCCAGCACCATAGTTAGCCGTAGAGGTCTTACTACTGCGGACCAGCTGCACTCCAAGGGAAGCCAACTCTTCCTCAAGGCCCGGGATCACGCCCTCCGGAGAGGCTATCCTTACCACGGGCTGGCAAGGGGCAGCAAGATGGTTCAACAGACCACAGGGAGTACCATCAGGGGTGTGCACAGGGCAGAGGAATCCCCAGGTCTCAGGTAGCAGCTTACGCACAGATGTCGTCTTCATCTCTTGGAAGAAGGAACCTCTATGCACAGCCCTAAAGTGGGACAGGTAACGGTAGGCGTTAAGCTTATCAGCGACCACAGTGAAACCTGTGGTCTGCTGTAGATCAAGAC